TGTTAGTGCATTCGATTTGGAACATGCCTGTGAGCTCTGACGGGAAAAATCATGAAGTCGTTTCATTGATTTTTTGAGCTTTTTTCAAAGATAATCAAATTAAGCTTTGCCAAGTACTTCTGTCGAGCGAACCGTAGAGCTAGTATACCCTTCAAGAGATGAAAAACTGTCAGAATTGCTGGCAAGCTAATCAATAAGTGATGCAAATATTGGGCAGATCAGCTGAAGACCAGATTACGAATTAGCACCTGTTCCAAATGTAACACTCTGACATTAAAATCAACCACGCACAAATATTACTTGCCTGTATACCTGTCGGACAGAAAGGAATCGGACAGCAACCACCACTGGAGCATTCCATTCCTGGGCCACATTCCTGAAACATTCTATGTTAAATCCTAGCTAAACAAAAATCAGTTCAGTGAGCCAAAAAATACGGTAGCGGATTTATGCAAATATGTAACAGCAAGGAAGACAAACCGCATTGACGTTACATCTGGCAGCTGCGGTAACACCACTGCGGCAAACTGGCATGCGAACTGGCTCATGCTGTTGACAGCAACATCCGGACACACAGCTAGCCTGGAAGCCAGAATCTGTGACAGAGATATGGATATGGCACAAATCATTTTTGGATGTGGTGTAAAAATTTTTATACAGATACAGAAATTCATTATCTGGGAACCTGTTGTGAGCATGACATTGTCACGGATAAAGTTGGACCGCAAAAGCCGGTAGCATCTTGGCCGCTGGGGCAGACCAGTGGACAGCAGACGCCACGAAAACAACCGCTTCCAGCCGGACATTGTTCCATAAAACCACATGGTTGCGTCCCAGGCGAACCATCTGAACTTATTCTGGGCAAAAATTTCAGCAACGTTCAAGCAACAAGAAACAAATTGAATTTCAAATTAAAAATGAGATTCGAATTGTTTGAATTTTGTGTGAATTTTAAGTGAACTTTAATTCTTTTGGATCAAATGAAATTTTTAAGTAATTTTATGCCATTTTTCAAACCAACTTAATTTTTAAAATTTGGTTTTTTTTTTCAATTCAGTCAAATTTTTCAATGACTATAAGTTATCTTTTTTCTTCAAGTAAGCGGATTTTTTGATTGCAAAATAAGTTTACTTGGACACATGATGACAATCTGCTGCGGCTGAACAACCGGATACGGTGGTTGC